TAGTTTTCACTTATTCTTCAGCGAATATCAGTTCATGGTAAAAACTAACTTTGAGCAGGAATTCATCCTCAATACTATATGTAATTAGCATGTAGTAGCATGAAAATTCTTAACTTGGTAAACTTATGATTGAATAAAATGGGTCCGCGTGAATAGCGTAACCAATGGTTGGAGACTCTGGGTGACATGTCTCAGAATCGATCACAATGGCGTAGGTGTATACACTCCCTGTCTTCCCTTAAACTATGTGATTAAAATCGCTTCATATCTTTCTTTCTACGAACTAATTTTTTCTTCCTTTATTATATCCTTATATGCAATCTTTCTTTTTTACCATGACTGAATTAACTACTTCTATGAATCCGGTGTTCATTTTGCTGTGCTAATGCGGTATGGCAACTTGGACCGATGCATATATGTGTCTGGTCCTACGTTGTAGCTGACTGACTGACTATTTTTGTAAACATCCCGGTGATTAGAATATTCCCAACATTACACTAGATAAACTAGTTCAAGATTCTTGGAAAAAAATCCTTTATGATATATGTATGACACATGAAGCGAGTTATCCTCATGTTTGTTTAAATGAAAATAAATGTGAATGACTAATGATGAATTGTATAATCTCAGGAGGTTCCATTTTACAATATCCTTTAACAAGATTTGAATAATTTTAAAATTATTATTAGCGTTAGTCCAACTAATGTTTATTAATAGTTGAAATCCAGGTTTTACATAGTATTCTAGCTTCATTTGTTTCGTTATCATTCCTAAAAATACACTAGTGAATTCTCGAGTACACCCAGTGTACAGTAGAAGAGTGTGATTTAATCTGTACACATCGAACTGAGCGAATTTATGAGACTCCTCTGTAAATAATCGAAGTAAATGCAAATAAACAAGTTAGTCAGAATTCAGTTGCGTAAGATTTATTGGATTAATATGTCACTAATTGTTAAGTGAAATGTTTGAAATCACAGTTTTAAGATTATTTTTTTTCATAAAGAGACCTTCAAGATTATTAATTTTCCATCGATTGTGAATGACCAAGATATGGATTATTAGAGAATGGTATACGTTTTTGTATGCTGTAGGTACATATTTGTAATGTGTATCAACAAGTGACAGGATTATTGTCATGCATTGATCTCATGTTGTAGAACCACCAGATATGGATAAGTTCAGGGTTTTGGCTAGAGAGAAGAAGGCTAGCTGATGAGATCATAACTTCCAGCAATTGCCTCAATTAGATTACACATTTTATGTAATCCAAGTTATAATCTGGTATATTATTGTACATAAATTAGGGACAAGTTGAAGGAAGACAAGATGATCAGGCACAGATAGGACACCAAGTGAAATCACTGATGTACGATCTGATTCTCGCAACAAGATACATACCTCTTGATTGTGGTAATCGGGATGAGATAAAGTTATGGTTTGGGATTCCGAATGTCACAGGTCATAATATCTTAGACATAGTTACACTGTTTACTTACTACCTGTTATATTTATTTTACCTCACCAACCTTCTACGGATCTTGTTTTTTTTTTAATATCTCCCCATTTTTTCTGATTTCCTCTTTCTGTGCTGTTGCGTAGTATAAAAACTTGCACCGAAAAAAGTCTTTCTTTAATATATGTATGCATTATAATTAGAAGTTTTTCATATATACAATCTCTTGATTTATTACTTCGAAATTCATCATTAGTCATTCACATTTATTTTCATTTAAACAAACATGAGGATAACTCGCTTCATGTGTCATACATATATCATAAAGGATTTTTTTCCAAGAATCTTGAACTAGTTTATCTAGTGTAATGTTGGGAATATTCTAATCACCGGGATGTTTACAAAAATAGTCAGTCAGTCAGCTACAACGTAGGACCAGACACATATATGCATCGGTCCAAGTTGCCATACCGCATTAGCACAGCAAAATGAACACCGGATTCATAGAAGTAGTTAATTCAGTCATGGTAAAAAAGAAAGATTGCATATAAGGATATAATAAAGGAAGAAAAAATTAGTTCGTAGAAAGAAAGATATGAAGCGATTTTAATCACATAGTTTAAGGGAAGACAGGGAGTGTATACACCTTCGCCATTGTGATCGATTCTGAGACATGTCACCCAGAGTCTCCAACCATTGGTTACGCTGGTCACGCAGACCCCAACCAAGTAATCTGCATCTACCGACATGGCTCAGACTAGGAGTTAGTGACTTTGTAGACTGATGCCACGTTTTGATTTGGCTGCCCCTAACTTTCTTCCAACCATCCCCAACACCGGTTAGCATTGCACGTTGTGGTAATCGGTGTTCAGGCATATGTAACACGTGGCCCAACCATTTCAGTCGATGAAGATTCACAGCCTCATCAACTGATTTGCCATCGTTCCCTAATACCCTGCTTCTAACCTCACTATTACTTACCTGGTGATCCCAGCAGATGCCAGCAATATTTCTATGGCATCTTCTGTCAAATACTAGTAGCTTACGAGTCTCTTCAACTCTTAATGGCCATGTTTAGCAGCTGTGAAGTAAAACAGAACGAACTGCTTAGCAGTTTACTCCTCCATTTATTGATATACGGATATGTCGTCTTCGTCATAGATGACGTAAGTTGGTGAAAGCCAAACGAGCTTTTTGAGTCCGTGCTGAGATTTCGTCAGACACCGACCCAAAAGTAATTTCTCTTTTTAAATGTCTTTTATATATTTGTCTCTCAAACTCTTATTAGACTGTTCATTCAGGTTTAACGAAGGTTCATGTAATAAAACTTGCTAGTCTACCATTCTAATCTTCAGATAATTTTCCGACACTTTCAAGTAGACAATCTTCCAGACGATTATAATTTATTTCCCTATATTCTTATGTATATTTAGTCCATAGGTTATCGAAATTAAAGTCAATATCTCTTAATAAAATTAAACTTTACACTTTTCACAGTTTCAAAATATTTTTTTGTGTTATATACTACGTTACTTCTGGATGTTTTCCATATTGGTAGCTTTATCATTGATTGTTACACATTCTTCATTTACGCTTAAACGAACGTTTAAATTGTCACTGGTATTATGATCTAAAATTGAAGGTTATCAGCCTTATTGATCATCTTAGTAAATATTATTCAGTAAATCCGACCAATTAATAATTATTAGACCTAATGTAAGAGGATTATAGTTAAACTAGGTTCGTTGGAGACTAATATATGATAATACTGCAACATGAACAACCCACACTCCGTTGAAGAGAGAGAAAGAAGACGATATTTCAGAAGAGATTTTTGTGTCTCATGAATAAACGTTAAATACTGATACAAAATAACAAATATTATACAGATTCGGATTATGTGGCTAAAAGTCAACATTAACATCACTACAAATAATAATGATAGGAGTGAACATCACAGTAAATGATGATTTCGATCATCCATAACAACCAGATATATTTGGTTTTTTTAATTTTTGTGCTTTGGTTACTTTATTAACCGTCATTAAACTGTAATACATCTTTTAACGACGTCCTGTTCCAAAAATATAACTTCAGAAAAGTCTCTAGTTTTTTCCAGTTTTAAAAACTTATAATAAACGACATAGTGTTACGTCTGTTGGTTATTGAATAAATTGTGGTTGGCATGTAGAAGTTATGTTTTCTTTGTAGGACCTTCACTATCACGTTTCCATCAATCAATCATCACTACTGAGAAATAACTCATGTTTAGTTAACTGGAGGTTCTCATTTATGTGTATTTGTTATTCATATCAGGTGTGATTCAAATAACATTTAGTAAAAACGGAGTACTCAATACAAGTTTCGACGTGTTCTGCAATGCATCAACAGTTGAAATTTGAAACCACGATCACCTAGTCATAGTAAAATGTACATGGATGTGTGAACGGATATCTAATTAGGGCACGGAGCTCACCCAGTTATTATTTTATGTAACGATTAAACCGTTTTTGGCAACTTTCATGCATTTACGTTTCTCTATTGTTCCAAAATAGTATTAATCAATAAACAAAACTTAGTGAGCAAGTAAATGTTCCTATACAATGCTTTGACCTAAGGTTCTTCTGGCTTTATCATCATTTTTCTGTCTTGATCTTGTTTTATCGAAAGTTTACCGTCGGGAATCTGAGTGATAGGGGAAGTTCTTTTTCACACCAAAATATAAATTTATCAAACTGGAGGTTACTGAACACATTTAGTTAATCGACAGAATTATTTCAAACGTTATGTATTTTGCTTTGTGAAGATTATAACTTATTGATGATATGGCCAGTTGGCGAACACTTCACTTCATAAATCAATGTCTTGATAACTGGATCGTACCATTAATCTCCATATTACACATATTATCCGCATTATGTATGTTGTCATCACATTCAAAAAATATGTTTGAAATATAAAACAGTATTTGGAGCATGAAGTTTATTTTAAAATTACCAGATAAGAATGCATGGGTTTTGGATAAATTCTAGCAGTTTTGATAATCTGACTAGTGATAATATGATAGGATTTCAAAGTTCTGCTCATGTTATATTAATTATGATATTGGTCAAGTAAAATCATCATACGTTGAAGTAAAAGAGTATTCAACTTGGCAGCTTAGCATATATTGATGTAGTCACTGACTTTGAAAGGTAATAAACAGATAGTAATTTTAATTTCGAGGTTAGGATGTGATCAAATTACCGACAGAAAGCGAAACACCTATCAACAAATGGCTTCTTGGTTAGAGAGTTCGGCTTTCAGACATTGAGTTCTGGGTTCGAACCTCAGTCCACCTATTTCGGCTTGGGAGACTGTGTAATATCCCCAGGCCTTATAGTTACAGTGTGGCTCATGTTCAATCACCTTGTGAATGAGTTAACTATGTAATTATTAATCTTTATATTACCAATATTCTAACTGGAATTCATATATCATTTCCATTCCATGTCATTCCTTCCCAGTAGTCTTTATTCTTATTCGTTTTCTTTTTTCAATACAGATTATCCTGTTTACTACTGATATGCCAAGATTTAAAGCAACTCCCCAACAGTTTAATCTAAATAGTAAAAAGGAATCCTCGAACGATGAAGACAACATTGATGATATTGTAGATGATTTGAGTTCTAATGATGTTGATAGTCATAGCAGTAATAATCATGACGATAGCAGTGATGATCATGATGATGACAGTCTACAAGAAGATAATGATGATGAAGCGCTTGAATATGACACCAACCATAGTATTATGAAAAGATCTCCAGATACTGATGAGAATAGTCCGAAACAGAAACAAAGGAAAACTTGTCAAAATTCAAATGAACCGATTCCAGTCACCACGGAATGTTTGAATACCTTACAAACAGCGGCTTTTCTTGCACAGGCAGCTGCTGTGGCCACTGTTGCTGCACTCTCTTCTGGACAGTTGATACCAATTTTTCCTTCTGAAACACCACCGATAGCTCCTCTTGGTTTATCTTTACCAACAATACCTAATGAAAATTTCACTGAAACAACAACAGCGACCATAAAATCAACAGAAGAATCAAATACCTCAATGTCGAATCGAAATAATGTTAATTTGTCACCTACTGCTAAAAAACAAAGTCCTAATGCAGCAATGTGGGGTCCATCCTCGAATAACAGTGATGTCGATAATGATGAAGGTGTTGACGAAGATGATGATGCGACTGATAAAAATTTGCATCAATGCAAATCACGGGAACGTGAGAAACAGTTTATCAATTGTCCAGTATGCTGTAAAACAATGAGACGCGGTTCTTTGCGTGAACATATGGATCGTCATGCAAATAGTGGCAAATTTAAATGTGATGCATGTGAGAAAACATTTAGTCGTGCCAGTGCTCGTGAGAAACATATACGTACACATACTGGTGAACGTCCTTACAAGTGTGAATTATGCTCAAAAGCTTATAGACAAAAAGTTCATTTAAATGAACACCTTCGTTCACATACTGGTGTTCGACCTTATTTATGTAAATTATGCGGTTTTTGTTTAGCTTCTAAATCGCTACTAAATCGACATTTGCGTACGCATGGAATTAAAAAAAATCTTGATAATGATACTGATGTTTGGATGAAAATTGATGCACCTAAAGAAGAAGTTTTAAATATTGCCGCTGAAGTTGGTCGTGTATTATCACAAAGACAAAATGAAAGTTTGGATAATGACAACCATACTACTAATATTGATAATAACAGTAGCAATATGCAATCATTTAAAATTGAACAAACTCTAAGTAATTCATTCAACAGCGACTGTATCTTACAGTTAACACCTAGAGGGTCAGTGACATTTGGCCGCAAATATTTATGTAATCTGTGTCCAGCTGGTTTTCCTACAGTACAGGCCCTAAGAAGTCATCGTATGACTACACATAATGTTGTTACACCACACAAATGTCCACAATGTAGTGAATCATTTAGTTCGCTGAAATTAATGGAAGGACATTTGAGAAAACTTCATCCACAGGTAACATATTATCGTTTTGATGACTGATACTTTGTATTGAAAATTAAATTTTCACTTATATACTTGTAGGTCACTGTCTCATGCTTATTGAGACTAATATGTAATCTTTAGTTTCTCATTTCTTACCCATTCAATCGAGGTATTGAAGTGATCATACTACAATTTTGTTTTATACCCTATGTCAACCACGAGTTTTATGTAAATTGCAGATAATTCTCGTGCCAAGAAACTTAAAATTTGAATTCATAGTCTCGCAAAGGTCACTCCAGTCACAGAACATCCTATACATTAAACTACAATTTCGCACCTTATCATTCTTTTGTTATACCACATATCATATTCAAAAGATTTTGGTCACAACTGAAATACTTCTAATTATCTGCATATCAGTCTATGTGACAATTATCATAAGTCTTTGTAGTTAACTGAGTGCTTGATTTATGTGTAAAACATTTTTATTGTAGAGTACTAAGTTAAAAAAGGGTTGACCAGTTTTTTTATTGAAGCGTTTGCAATCTCTGTTACTCTCATACATACTTAACTCAATTCTTTATGCTGGTTTTCATAGAAGCTAGTTCAAATGGGACTAAATATGACTAAACCAGTTGTGTGTTTTCTGATTAGGTTCCTTGACATAATTTTTCTTTATACTCCTCCAAATCTTGAATATTTTATTGTCCTACTCCTTTTATTTACTGATTTTATATGTTATTTCCATTTAATTTTTTGATTTGACTTTTTAATACCGTCAATATTATTAATTCCACTCCTATTTCTCGACCTTGTCCAGTTCAACGAGACTATAATTTATGAACGAACCAATCAGATAAAAGGTAGCAGGTTTTGGAATTTGGCGCCAAATTCAATCATCCATGTGACTAAATAGCGTTTCGGCATTTTGACTGATTTCGGTTCGTGATGAAAACCCTAAATCTAATTCCTAACTCTAACCATCAACTGTAAATCATAATTTCAATTTATCTCATTGGTTTTTAACTCTCATGTAGTCCTCGTTAGTAGGTGGATACTCTCAAGGTCACTTCGGCGTCGCTCAGAGGTCATCCATCAATTATAGTCTCACCTCAAGTTCTTTTCTAGATTTTTATTTATTTATTCAGACATATAAACATTGGTACAAGGAGGCACCAAACATATATGTGCCACACAAATCAGTCGATTTGTGTGAAGACTGGTAACTGTCCGGGCGCCCAAACCAAAGCAGGCAATTTCTTTCGAATGTACAACAATTTGAGTTGACATATAATTGTTTCATCTCTTACGTTTCTTTTACATATTTATTTATGATTTTTTATTGAGTGTCAGATGAGCCTAACTATCTATGTAAATCGTAAAATTGAACAATGGACTATAGGCTGCCATGACTTTAAAATCCCTGATGGTTTATTCCGTAGTAAATTTACGTGCTTCTAGAAAGCTAATTCTAATAATTCAGTATTATTTTGTTTAGAATAAAAACAGTAGAAACTTATTTTTACAGAGTTGGATATTGCATTTGCTCGACGGTCGTAAATAACGGTAGTATATATAAACGAATCGATTATGTACTCATACATTTACTGATTAATATAGGAGCTCGAATTTATATATACCAGAACTGTTCTTCAGGGAGAATAAGTGCTGAAGCATTTCCAAATGTTTCCTCTTTATAATTAATTGTGTAGCCCATATTGTCTTAGAATAATGTCTCGCGCCCCTCCTGATTATTTAACATAGGTATTGTATTTTGGTCAAGTCGTAGTAATATTGTTGACTATAATTACTGGCCGATGGTTGATCTTAAAATGCTAGCACATTTGTCTGAAGCTCAAGTGCTCGCTGTGAGGTGCGAGTGTCGTTGGTTGATCCTTGGTGGGTTCGTTGATTGACACTGCCGAGGAACCTTATAGTGAGACGAGACAGCTATCAAGTACCTCCTAGTTTTTAACTGTCTAAAGTCAGTCCATGATGTTAACTACAGAGTCTCATCAACAATTTGGAATTGTATTTGGCTAATTATATTACTAAGTTAGAGTTCTTGTAAGAAAAAATTACTGATAAGGAACAATACTACTGTTTAAGAATTCGATGTTATGGGCGAAGTTAACTTTTGGGATACCTAGTCTTCAATGTAATTATTTTATTGCTATTTATATGATTCAGTCTTCTGTGCACAATCTTAGAACTCGACAAATTTAACTATACAGAGGGAGAAAACAGAGATTGTGTAAGAATTTCTATTACTAAAAGACCGCATAATGTTCACACCTAATCTCCATTCATGGGTTGTCAGGTCAACTTGAATAATAACATCCAGGGAATGAACGTGACTAGGTGAGTAAGCTACTTAGAATAGTCAGCCCACACTTGCATTTCAATCAGCATGCTACATTGAAACATTGTGTGGTTTTGTTTTTTGTTAGCGTATCAATATATACATTTTGTTCATTTCAGGCTTCTTTCAATACTGACTAGGCAAAACATGTTTTATTCATTTCACTCTAGGTTTGTCCAATATGTTCAAAACAAATGCCTGAGCGTCGTAAATGGATGGTTGAAGCGCATATAAGAGAAGCACATCCAGAAGCAGTAGCTGACCACGTAGGTTCATCTTCACAAAGTAAAAATCACAAAAAGATTAAATCGAAAGAAAATGCTATCAGTGCTACTACTACTACTACCACTACTACGACTACTTCCAATAATGATACTGCTCTGGAAAAACATACTAACAATTGTGTTTCATTAGAACTAAGGAAGTGGAAAGATTTTAGACCAGATAAAGTGCACTCTTCAACTGATGATGATGATGATGACGACGATGATGATGACGAAGATGATGAGAATGATATAGAAGGAGATGATGAAGAGGATGAAGAACGAGAGTCTCATTTTGATCAAGAATCATTTAAAGATTCAAATAATGATTGTAATCTTAATGTACTTAATGAAAATACTAGCGTTTATTCTATAGATCATGAACAACTAGAAGAGGAAAATAGTTTATTTTTACAAATGAATGATAATAATGAAAAAACTGATTTCATAGTTGGAACTAATGATATCAATCAATTAGAATTGGGTTCTAGAAATGGAACAGAAAGATAAATTCATATAAACATAATAATCAAATTAATAATTCAATTATAAAATCAAACAAAACTGATGTTGTTAATAATACAGAAAAGAGTACAATGAATCCTTTTTTTACTGTAATTCTTAATACAGAGAGCAATAAAAACAAACGAATATTCTAGGTATCCATACCAAGGTTGAACTAGATAATTTCAAATTAATTGAGCATTTGATAGTGAGTTAATAATGAATATATTTTTGTTATATTCTAATGAGTAGAAAAATTGTATTTGTGGTGTTTCGTGACTTAGTCTAAGTCACTTCTTCAGTGTAAATAAATAATCGACATTAAATGAACACAAGTTTAAATAGTGTGTGTGTTCATTAAATGTCGATTATTTATTTACACTGAAGAAGTGACTTAGACTAAGTCACGAAACACCACAAATACAATTTTTCTACTCATTAGAATATAACAAAAATATATTTATTATTAAAACAATATTACTTGTTATTTATTCATTTAAAGTTTGTAAAAAAAAAGTGGATGACGTGAATTTTTGTTACTATCATTTCATCTTCATTTCTTCTTATAAACATTCAGTGAATATGAATAGTTTAACTAATGGTCTTTTTGACAGTTTTGATTCCATAAATAAAATAGCTCTTCAACATTTATTATGTATCTATAGTTTGCATAATATCACAGTCATTCCCATTTCTTTCTATAATCTACCTTTTGTCATTTTATCACGGTGAAATAAAACATTTATTTGAGTATATGATTATTACTTATTTAATGTTTTATCGATTGTAATATCTAACACGATATATGTAATCATTTAGATTGATCTCTTTTCTGGTCATTTCCATCATTCTTTTTGTTTGACACATAAATTTATTTCAGGATAATCATTTTGAATGATGACTGTCAGTGTAATCTAGGATACGTTTAATTCTGCTTAAGACTCATCAGTTGGATGTACTGATATTCGAGTGTTGGTGTTCATAACGAAAACTGCATCTTCCATCTATCGTATTTTGTGGTAGCCATCCGATCACGGTATCTGATTATTCCCATAGTTAACTTATACTGAGGTTCACCTCGCATTTATTCTAAGACTGAAAATTCTATATGGAATACGATAACGTGATGTCAAGTAGTCTCATACAAAAATGGAGATATTTTATGACATATCCATTAATCAGTAGATAAACCATTACCAGTAACTGAATGGGTAGAACATGGATTTTAACCTTCAGTTAAATCTTGCGTATTTGGAGTGATTAGAGAAATCAGTTAGTAAGTTAATTAGTGACTCAATTTATTTAGGCCAAAATAGTAAATAGGATGAGTAGTAAATAGACGGACACAAGCACAAATACATAGAAAGGATATGTACAAAAAACTAATACCATTGGGATTAAACGTGTTTTTTTTGAATCCATCAAAACAGAGATTTGCATATAGTTTAGCCACAACCTCAAGCTACTGATCGTTGTTAGTATTCAAGTACTTGTAGACTGATAGTTTTGCCAACAATACTGTCAGGAATTACGGAAATTATATTTGTCGAACTAATGAAGTCATTCATACAATAAGATTAGATTTTTAATAAAGAGTAGGATGATTCTAGAAAAGACAGGTTGTATGATACAAGTATCTGACAATCATGTAAATTATAGGGAACTTCATGAGACCAATATTTATTATTTACACTCAGGTTTTTAATACTATACAATCCACTGTCCTTATCGGAAACGTATAAAATCAACACTTTTCAGTAACTCTTCTTTCCTGACTATAAATGTACCTAAAGGATTGATAATTTTTGCAAAGTTAAATTGGTATGTTTGCCCTTCGGAGGGATTACATGGTTATCAAAACGTTTTTGTTATAAAATAGACAAACAACCAATGTAGCTCTCAATAGTCACCCTTCCTTTGCGTGTTGCGCATTACACATGTGGAAGTAAATAAATCCTACAAATAAATAGTCCCATAGGTATCTGACGTTGATTCTGGCCTCATTAGTTTGACTTGACACACCCTAGCTAAAGACGCTCGGTCACGCATCCACCCTAGCCCACAAATAAATACGCCGTGTTACGTACCCCAGACAGCAACTAGCCAGCTTAGGTCAAACACTTCTCGACATATCGAGTACCTAAATTTTATTTTCAAACTTCTTAATTCCTGAATTCTGGTTTGACCGAGTTTGGGATCCTTTGGTTATAAAGGTGTTACGGATAAAAGCGTTATCAAACCCTGAATAATAGTGACATCGTCACACATCTTTTCTGTTTCCTGTCTCGTTATCTTCATCTATCAAAACATCCTTCCTTTTTCTGAAGCATTTAGAAGATAAAACTTCATTAGTCATTACTTAACATTCTAGTAAAGTGACCAACCAAAACGTTCACTTTATAACTGAATAATAACTTGTCTCTGTCAAACCACTTACACGGGTTTATCTTATCAACAAGCTGCAGAAGACATAAACTCATCATCGATCGACTGGTTTGGCTCACATTTAAAAAACCAGCTAGTTTTAGCCTGATCAGATTATTCCATTTAAGAGTACTTAGCCTTCTGATAAGGCCACTCCAAGTTCAATATAAGTTCCTTTTGTTTTTGAAACTATCAAGATAATCTTCGTTTACAGGCATATTCCGAAGCACTTCTTTTTGCTAGTGATACGCATCTTTAAGGAAAGTTTACTAGATAGAATACCTTCATTAGATCTAAGTTCAAAGTTCAATCATCTAGTGTTACTTGGTATTGCCTAAGCAGACAATGCTGACCCACCTATCATCATGCAGTATGAAACCAAATAATGTGTTTCATGCAAGTCAGGAAAGAGAACTAGACAGCAGACAAAATACAGCATCTAAATTATAAAAATGTTATTATTCAATTTTTGAACATTCCTCACCGGTTCATCTAAATATTCACTGGTACATAAAATAAGGCTGTCACAGAAGTTTCTCGGACTATCTGTCCAGATCAATGAGTGTGTGTAATGTACGAACTCAAAATCCATTGTTGTGTTTAGTTTATTTTGTCCCCTTATTTTTTGACGCGAATAATATCAGTAAAAATATACGACGGTTGGTGGTACGTAAGCTTTAACGACAATCAGAATATGACTAAACTGGAGCCAGATATAGGGATAATAAAGCCTGAGTCCGAATTAAATACACATGCATCTACGCCTCTATTTATTTCCCGCCGAATTCCTACATCACCAGCATAAAGTAGATTCACAGACTCAAATATACTTGCGAGTTCATCTGCACACAGTATAAAAAGTAAAGGACCTAGAACAGAACCTTGTGGCACTCCACCAAGTACTGGTCTTCAGAAGAATCATTTGGAATCTGTTCTTGCTTTTTGTCTGCTACCCATAAAGAAATCTTTGATCTGCTTTGGAGAGGTCCGGCAATTCGTATATTTTCCAGCTTCGAGAGAAATTTATTATACGGCACCTTGCTAAATGCTTTTCTAAAATCCACATAAGCAACACACTGATTTCCCACTATCTAGCGACTATGTGCATCATCGTTGTTCACAGTTTAGAAATTTCGTAGCGGTAAAGAAATCCTTAAAATCAATATCTATGTAAGTCTTCGACATTGGATGCTGACCACATTAGTTTTAGTGGATTTGTAGTGGCATTGGACCGTAACTACACATTCCTCAAAGCTGAATACGAGATTACTCAGAAAATAGATAATCAATATTTAACACGAAGAAATACCTAACGATGGAGAAGGCGCGAACAAGGAATTGAATGAATTGGAGTGGGTGGAATGGCATGACTCGGCCATGCAGGCGTGGTCCCTGTTATCTTATATCTTTTAACCACATTAAATATATTGTCCTATCTCTAGTCTAAGCTTGTTCTCCATCATGTATTGGTAATTGTTATGATACAATGAGTTGGTGTAGACGATGTAACTTCCACGTAAGATCTTATAGATTAGGCAGTTATATCATGACAAGTCTATAATTTTAGGATTACGTCCATTATTAGAGCAGTACTAATATCATAGTAAAGCATAGTTCTACAGACTCACCTAGCTGAGAGCACTCGGTCATGCATCCGCATCAGATCATGAGTGGGAAAGCCATACTCAACTTCTCCTGAAATCGCTGGCCAGATTAAATCAGTCGATCCACGATGTATTGATAACCTATCAAATATATCTTCGAACCTCCTTGCCTCTGAATTTTGATTCCGCTTGGTGGGTACAATTCATATTAGGTGTTACTGGTTAAAGCATTTTCAAACTCTGAATACCTGTGGCAACTTCATTTTGCTAGTTCAAACCATTGAAACTATGGCCTTTTGGATGCTCTTTACAATATTTTAACTATGACACTGATGAACCTGAAAGATCTTTGGTTTGATGGATTTTTTCTTAACTCTGTATTACGGATTGTCATGAGGATCACATCGTTGTATTCGGTAAGTAGCTTACCTTTCCCAAGTGATATACTGAATAACGTGGTCAACAGGACAGCAATGTATTGCGCAATCTGTCTCAATATTTTAGTGTTTAATTCGTCTGATCTTGTTGATTTTTCCGTTGCTTAGGTCTAAGAGCTTTTAATTCATCGTCTCGATCAAAGTAACCAGTGAGTAGCTGATCTCTTAACTTTGTATTTGGGTCTAGTTTTTCGTATGGAAGTGGCTGCGTAGTCAAAACAGTCCCGAAAATGTCCTCCATGGATTCTGTATTGTCCTGGTCTTCTTCAATCATTTGAGACATACTTCCTTTCGTAGCAAAGTTGGGAACCCAGTGGTGAGCTCTTGTTCTATAATTGGTGTACGGGAACACTCGCTTCGATTGCTTGATTACGGGTCGTGCCTACTGCTGTTCATATATTTTCCAAGCAGCATGAATTATTCTTATACACTTATTTCTGATCGACTTGTTACGTTCCATTGTATTTGTTGTGCCAGGGTTGATGTCAACGTCCCAACATTTCGTCTTTTATGCCAGTACGCGTCACACCTCCTGGTTTATCTAGGGATAACTGTGTTATGTCTTATCCGGACTGTTCAGGGTAAGAATGGCCGGTTTATTTGATTGCATAACTTCAGGAAGAGTATCTGTAGAATTACGGTCCACTTTGTTGTTAGTACTATCATAATAATAGACCGAATCCTAATATTGTAGATATGTCATGAGGTGAAAACCTAATCCATAAGTCTTTACGTGGAAATCATACCACTGTCTATTCTGACCTGTCGTATAGTAACGATCCGCCATATAACGTTTGGCGTTTGAAAAGAAAACATCTAAGCTAGAAGTGGAATAATATATTTAATGTGAGTAAAGACAAGTTATGCAGAACGAACACATCTGCGAGGCCGAGCCATTCCATCCGATCTATTTTCATTAATTCCCCCCGCCTTCTCCATCACTGACCCACTCTTCATGTTAATTATTGAAAAGATGTTTTCCCAGTTATCTAATGTTTAGCTTTGAAGACCGTGTGGCTAGGACCAACGTCACCTACTGATGCACCAAGGTCAATTCTCCCGTCCTAAATAGGAGTTACTGTGTTGGCCGCTTTCATAACTGACTTTCTAATATCTGGACAGGTAACTACATCCGTTTGATAGGCTATATCATCTATGGACTCGGATTAGATGATCGTGTTATCAATCCTCCCTCTAGTTGGAAGGAACTTTGATAGGAAGACAAAGTTCAAGAAGCATAGCGAAATTCATAGGTCATGTCTGAATGGGGTCTCAGGTGTTCTAGGATAAAGCTAGGATGGTTGAAGTTTATGACAATTTGTACATAAACGATGTTTCTAATGACCCCACTTCCAAGTTCCTGCAGTTTATGGAGCGTGCAATAAACTCGCCTGCTATAAAACGTTTACACCCTCGTATTTAGGAGAAAGTTACTCACTAAACATCCTGGACTGCGGTATACTTTAAAAGATCCAATGTTTAACCTTTTCCATCTCACTCGGCAGCGCCCCGGTTCACATGTCCTTGGGTCGTGTGCCACTCTCCCAACAACTCTGAGGTGCTTTTCTTATACAGAATAACTGCATCACCCGCGGTTTACTTCGTCAGTCCTACAAAGTATGAAATTAAGCAACTGAATTCCATTATCATATATTTCCGATGTCAGCCATGTTTACGAAATAGCAATGACATTGGGGTTTTCTGTGTCAAACACATTTTTAAATCCCACCATCCTTTTTGGCAGGCTACAAGGATATATGTATCACACTTTTAATTTTGTAAAATTCTTCCCTTAACCACCCAGAATGTTTTGAAGATCGTTTTACCTTGAACGTTTATGGTATGAAAACCTATGAGTAAAAGGTTTTTTTACAGTACCGACGATGTTAATTCATTTCTGTTTTTTCCCATCGCCTCTTAATATGGTATGCTAGTTTGGGATCAGCACGGAAAAATATTTCAGATTCAGTCAGTTGGCTTGAAGATTTCAATATCTTTCTTCAGTGGAAGTAAACGTTACTTTTAGGAGGTGGTTTATCTGAATACTTTCTGAACTCTACGATCTACTTCGTTAAGTTGATGATTTCCGGGAGTAGCTTATTAGGAGCACGATGCGACTTTGATTATATTTAATTAACACCTCGAAAACGTCGTCTAACAGACATTTGGAAGGTTTGTGCGCCGTTTCTTAGATCGAAGAGCATTCGCAAAAATTCGTAAAGTCTGAAAGGAGTTATGGTAGCCGTTTTCGGAATGTTATCAATGGCCGTGGGAATTTGGTTATACGCTTTAACCAAGTCGATTTTCGAAAAGATAGTTGTACCTTTCAAGGTAGCTGTCAAATCGTGAATGTGAGGCAACGGGTAACAATCGGGAGTGGTTTTCGCAGTCAGTCGCCGATGGTCACCAGTTGTACGCCAATCGTTGCTGTCCTTTTTGGGGACAATGTGCAACGGAGATGCCCATGGGCTATTTGACGGTCATATGATTCCTAAGTCTATCATATGGTTGAACTTGTTTTTCGCCAACCTTAGCTTTTAGGGGGCTAGTCGTCGTGCTTTAGAGAATACAGGTGGTCCTGTAGTCGTGATGTGATGTGTAACGTTGCTGGTTACACACGGTTGGTGTATCCCAGGATACTTATCGAGTAGTGGTTGATAAAATGGGTCTGTCGTATGCTTAATCGTGACTGGAGATAATCCTCAACCAGAAAATGAATTTACGTAAACAGATAAATTAGTGTTTCCGTCTACTAGCCTCCGTTTGTGCGTGTCGACGAGTAGATTATGGTGTTGTAGAAGGTCCATACCAATCATTGGCATAAATAAGTCTGAAACAACGAAGATCCAGTGGATGGGTTTGCGTAAACCCACGTTAAGGTAAACGTACCTTTTGCCATCCGTAGCGATAGGCTTTCCGTTTGCCGCCTGTAAGGTCGAAACCGGTTCGTGAAGCCGGTCGTTAGGATTCGCTGGTAGAAAGCTAACTTCTGTGCCAGTATCGACGAGGTAGCGAACTCTCGTTGTCACATCTGTGGCGTATAACGGACGGCTATGTTCGACGGCTACGGTTGCAGTCAACCCGTGCCGGCTTGGAAGTTTCCCGAGTTGCTTTTCGCGTCAGTGGGTTTTGAGTTGGGAAAATTGCAGGGTTTTCTGCAATTTTTCGAAGAACTTCCATACTGGTTATGATACCAGCACCAGTCGGGGTCATCAGTCTCTCGCGGTCTAGAGACATACCGCTTACGTAAAGTGCTTCTACGTGGGGTGTGTGATCGCTTAAGGTCGTTACGAAAATAATATAACGTGTAAGTGTATGACGTAACTCGGTTATGTCATTCTGAGTCGTTTGAGCCTTTTCTTTGACTGAAAAAACCTCGGCATTAGATCTCGTCATTTCTAAGATACGATCGGCAGATGCAGCCAGTCAGTCTAAGGCGTTGTTCCGAAACGAGACCAAAACCGCTTGCACCTGCCGAGGAGGCTTCGACAAGAAAAGTTCTTTAAATCGGTCATTATCGAATGTTCTTTGGGCGATAACCTATCTCATTCGCCGCAACATGTCCGTCGCAGAACCGTGTTGCAGGTCGATGTTATTGAGGAGTTGGTCTAACCTTTGTCGATCGGTTAGGTCTCTGCGTTTAAGAATAGAACGTTTCAGCGTTTCGTACAGCTCAGAAACATCACTAGTAAACATACTAGATGTTACGTACCTGTTGAATTCTCGCGATAGTGCCTTGACTACTGCGAGGAATTGTGCACATGTATCGATTACGCCGTGCTTGGAGAAGTCGGCTTCTGCGTAGCAAGACCAGGCTTCGATGTTGTCTGACCATAAGGGCATCAGTTGAAACAAAGGTGGGGATGTAGTCCTAAGCTTAAGTACTTTGTGTGTCTGTTCAGTTATGATGAAATATGAAGTACGAGAACGAACGAGGGAAAAAATATCCAAAAATCACGAAAAAAGGCAGTGATATATAGAATCGCAAAAAGGAACAGACTCACAGTTTGCGATCACGTTAGGCTCACCAATGAAGATGCCACAGGTATTCGGAGTTTGAAAACGCTTTAACCAGTAACGCCTTCTAATATGAATCGTACCCACAAAGTGAAATTAAAAGACAGAAGCGAGGAAGTTAGAAGATATATTTGATATACTATCAATATATCTTATCTAATCTGGCTAGCGATTGCAGGGGTTGTTGAGCACGGCATTCCAACTCGTGATCAGGTGCGGATGCATGGCCGAGCGCCTTCAGCTAGGTGAGTCCATTTAAACTAATGTGGTCAGCATCCATTGTCGAAAACTTACAGAGCTATTAATTTTGGGGATTTATTTACCGCTACAAGCTTTTGTCTACTACATCGGAATGTCGAGATTTTCAATAGCTCACACATAACAAGTACTTTAATTACTATGTTTTCTTTTGTCAATAATTCGGAAGTTTCTACTGGTATCAGGGCATTAATATAAGGAGAATGACAGACTATAACTGGATTATCACAATGACAGTGGACATTAGAGCGCGCTGATTTTGAAATGTGCGTTTCATAAGCTTAAGAGGGCGATCAACAGTAGCATGAAATAAAAGTAAGTGTCACTAGGACTTTCTGTTCGACATGGTTTTAAACACAGGAAATTAAGACACAAGGCGACTTACTAAATATAGAACTCATTGAAGTAGTCATTGTTGTTACTTATATATATTAATAATTATCATGTCGTGTTTATATGAGGAATACACATTTAATTCAGAATTGAATATATGTGTTGCGCTAGTTTAGCGGAAATCTGAGCGCTTCTTTTTTAGGAGGACTGAAGACCTGACTGTTCCCGTGTTTCTGTCAGGATTAACACAGGTTCATCAACCTACTATCCTTATTACTGAAGACTGTATGACATGCGCGGTAAATACTAACGTACGTTAGTTGGACGTTGCAGCTTAATCACTTAGTCGCAAGATCTTATGTGCCTATCACTAAAGGACTCGCACGGTCAACATTCTCCTGTAAAAAAAACTGTATCTATAACGTTGTGAAAATGGACAGTTATCGCATTACTGCGTGCACGGGTTAATTGTACGATTTGAACTGTTACCTATAGGTAGTCGCTACACAGTGTTTTTCTCTAAAGTTTTCTCAGATGCTTGCCTTATGGTAATTTCAAAGTCGTTAGGTTATAATTTATGGACGAACCAATCAGATATAAACTAGTGACTGTTTCAGGGAGTCTTTTATCCACAATAATAAATTGCCTGCTACCTCGATATTACTTAACTTATATAACAGCCGGTTGTAAGGAACTTGGTTAAAGAGTGTTAAATTCAGTGTAGACCACTTCTATAGGTGACGTTTGGTCTTTAAGAGCGCACCAACTTTCACGATCTACTAATAAGTTAGTGTTAGCGGGACATAGACCGGATTAAAGCATGTTCAATTCACGATTGCTTTGGTGCACGCTGATTGGCTAATTCTTATCCAATCAGCACTAGTCGATAGTTGGAGAATACTCTAGAATCTTCTCATGTGAAAACTATAAATAGACTGACTTTTTCTCTATTGTGCTTCTGGCTTGCATCTTGCTTCCATCTAACCTTGTTATTTGGAATATAATCTCTTTCCTGTTCAACCGTGTTCTGATTTGGGGTTTTGTCGAGTGAATCGGTGTCCAAGAATACTAAGCAATAGGAATAGCTGGGTCATAACCGTAAGAAAGAGAGTTATAACAGTTAGTGAGACAGGAATAACCTGTTCTAAAGCCATGCTGCTTTTCAGAAAGAATCCGGTCTTCATCGAGATACCTAAACAACTTCCGAATAATATTTTTTAAAGTTGTAACAACCACGCTAGTTAGGTTAGTGGGTCGGTAGTTCCCAGGTTTATGTTTCGTACCTGTTTTGAAGATGGGACTTACTATGGTGTTCTTCCAGTCTTGGTAACCGACCTTGGGTTACGGATAGATTAAAACATACGCTTAAGAGGTTCTCAACGAAGTTGGCTAGCTCCTTTAGTAACCTAGAAAGCAGTTCATCTGGTCCCGTGGATACGCCTATATCAAGCTCATTTAGCAGACCAAAGACATCGAGTCCTTTAATCGTCACGTTCAGTGTGTATATATGTGTGTGGGGTTTGTATGAACTGACGGGAAGGGTGTCTCTACGGTATATACATTGCTAAAGTAGTTTGAGAATACTTGAGCTTTATCATGGTCGTCCTCTACAAATGATGCAGTGCTACTGTCTTTTCATAATGCTGGGATATTTCCTCTTCTCTTAGTCCTTTGGTTTATGTACGAATATAAGTTTTTAGGGCATTCTATAGATTCATTAACAAGTTTTTCGTCGCACAACCTTTTAGAGGGTCGTGGCACAAGTATTCCGAGCTTCTCGATGTTGAGATTTTGTCTCGTCAGTTCCCACTAACCTAAATCTCCCACATTCTTCTCTTACGGAGAAGGATGCGAACCTCTTTATTGAACCACGGTAGGGAGTTTATCGGACCCCTTGGTGTAGTCCAAGGGATGTGTGGTGCAGTGACTTTTAAGTACAAATTTCTGAATATATCCCAAGTCGTTTCGACTGGGGACTCTGGCTCTACTGACCAACCTACTGCGGATGTCGTGTGTATGCCTTGTATATTCACTTGTATATTTCACTGGATTATACTCCTTGAATAACATCTTCAAACCCTAATATTTCTGATTACTACATCTAGCACTACGGGATTTGAATCGACCACTGCATCTCTGTGCTAATGTGGTGTGGCAGCTCGAACTGATGTATGTACGTACGAAGTTCTACGTTGTTACTGACTGACTGACTGATATTCGCTTCCCAGACGTTAGGTCTGGGTTGGGTTGATACACGCTTATTTATGACAACTATACGGAAACCAGAGATTAAAAATACATGATTACTTTTACCTAAGGGTGGCATATAGTTGAGGTTTGTGACATTCTCATAATGGGTTAATATGAGATCTAGTAAGGATGATTCGGAGTCCGGGTTGTACCTAGTTGCTTCTATCACATGTTGCTGGATTTTACTCGGAATTCATCTTTCCTTATGATTTGATAGCATTTTGGCATTGTGGCTGGTGTCAGTTTGCGATAAAAACTCGCAATTTAATTCCTAACTAACCATCGTAATTCCTTACATTAATTCATAACCCCATTTTGACTTTAGCATGTGGTTGAAGTTCTTCAAGCTTTTTCCGGCATTGCTCTAAGGTCTTCCATAAATCATGGTCTCATCTTCAAAGTTTCTCATATGCTTCGTTAAAATCGCCTGAATTTCTTCGTTTTCCTAGCGAGTCATGATACAGTTCATAGCACTATGATGCAGTCAATTTTTTCACTTTGTAAAGCTTGATGTACTTGTAAATCTGCCATATTTCACCTTATGACAAATATTGTTCGCTACCAAACATATTCAGTATCAGTGCTGTAGGTGCTTTTACATAGTTTACTTCATTCTAACACTAATCGCCTGTTGCCAAATTTAAGATGGATTACACATGGTCATCAAAGGTAGATAGTACCAACCGTTAATTATAGCCCCTAAGGTTTTAATTCTTTTTTCTTTTTCTCAACTCATCCCTTTTTGGGTTTAATCATGTTGCGATTTGATTGAGGTGGTTTTTATTTTGTCTTATAAAATCGGTGACTTCATCAATGAATGATACCGAATGACTGTAGATAATATGCTTGTTTGGTCCATAAACGTGAACGTGATATATATAATGAAACAATATTTGTGTACTTTTATAACTAAGTTGGATTACCAGATATTTTTTCACTCACAAAGCCAATACGGTGAGATAATTTTCCATAACTGACAAAAATTGAAGGACGACCCTATGGACATTAAGATAGGATATTAATAAGAAGTGCGATGTTATGAAGTGCCACAAGATGAAGCGCACAGAATACTAAGTATGCGTTACATTTAACCTCAAGTAAGGAGATAATTTCTTACTGCCTCAAATGTACCGCTTATAAACTTCCATAATTGTCTGAATGAGTTTCAGCATATTGTCCACTAGATAATTTACCTGGGTAACTCGTCGAAATGTAGACGGATAGTTTGACAGAAGTTGGGGTTGAGGGTATGTGTATAGATTATATTTAGGTTAACCTTAGGGGCTGAAATTCAAACAGTTTTAACGGCTTGCTTGGCGAACTGATCTTGTTTTTCAGATAAATAATTAAAATCATTACCAAAAATACATAAGATTTGAAAAACAAAATCACACTAAATGCTTGTCCAACCAAGTCCAGTTGTTTATCCTGTACACAGCAACATCGTGAAGAATTTGATGTGAAAATGGTCCATAATACAGGAAGTAAATATGTACGTGTATATGTCTGCTAGTGTTATTAAACACTTTTGAGAAATAATGTCTTTGGCTACGATCAAGGATATTTTTGTCGCTTTCGTTTACTGTAAAATTAACAGTACGTATGAGTCAAATAATCCGACCGAAGTACGTTGAGACTTGAGATATTCGTATAACTGATTCCTATGTTAAATTAAAGCCAGTTAGTCAGTCACAACATAGAACCTGGTACATATGTACTTTTGTTCAAGTTGTTGTACCCCATTAGTGTGCCAAGATGAAATTGTCAGGTCGAATCTCAAAACTGTAGAGGTTATGACAGCGTCAGTGGTGACTGGAAAGACTAGGCGTCGAATATCTGATTCAAAAAATATAAGTTGGTGAAATAAAAACAAAAGTTGTGAAGAATTCAGAAGCTCAGAATCCGCGGAAGATAAAGAATGGATGCACCTGCGCCATTGCAGGTAATTTTGAACATTGTCATTCAAAGTTTCTGCTCATTGGTTACGATAATCACGCGGACGCCAACCAGGTAGTCTACATCTATTGACATGGCTAAGTTCAAGTGTCAATAACTCCACGGACTAGTGCCATATTTTGGTGTGGCCGCACCTTTCTTTCAACTTTCTACACCAAACAACATTCACCGAGGTAGAGATGATTGGACACACATGAAATATTTCCTAACCACCTCAAATGATGAAGATTTATTACATCGTTAATCGGTTTAGCATCCTTACCTACTGTTCTATTCCTAACTCAAGCATTGCTTACTCGGTGGTTTCATAATACACAAGCAATGATTCGAAGACTCCTATAATCGAATACTAGTAACCTACGAATATCCTCTATTCTTAATGACCGTGTTTCACACAAAATAGAAGGGTTTACATGAATCCACCGTTCAGGTAGTGAATAACTGAAGTGTGTCTAATGGCCAGTTGAACTGTTTCCTGAAGTGTTCTTCTCATCGGTTTAATATCCTGATTTGAGTGAATAATTGTCCCGTTTTTTTCTGAGGTAACCTGGTTTTTAGCACTCATTACCTTGATAAGTCTAGACAGTTGTCTACTGTTACTTATCGCCACTGTCCTTCCCATCTCCTGCTTTCACCACCCATCACTACTCGCGATCATTGTGTAGCCTTTTTATCAGCCAACGTTTAAGTTGCTTCCGCTCCTCATTGTGTTCATAGCAATACGCGATCAGTTTCCGAACATCTATCAGTTCAGAAGATGCCTTTGAAGTCCACTGATTTTTCTTAATCTTTCGATTTGAGTTACTAGTAAATATCACTACTATTTCCTCAGCCTTTGTGGGTATTATGCTAAATTATCTCGGGGGTGAATATCACTTCCACGGTTGGCTCACTCTTCCAATTGTTCTTGAAATATATTCTTAACTTTCTTATCATTAACTAGAACTCTAAGGGGTTTCTATATCCAGTAAGATTTAGACGTAAACATTGGTACAAAGAGCCTCAAATACATATGCGTTACACAAATCATTTGGTTTGTGTAAGGGTTGGAATATCGCCCAGGCGCTCAAACCGAGGTAGGTGGTTTTCTTAAGAGGCCACACCCCAAGCCTTTGACCTAGAAGTCTAATCCACGAGACAGTGGAACAACGTTAAAAGATACAGTACCATGGTAGCTAGTGACAGACAATAGGTTCATACGCTATTTGTTCCCCCGGGATCCAGGGTCCCATGTGTACCATTGGTTTGGAATCAGGGTTTTTCAACTTCCTAGGTGGGTCTTCCATATCCAGCAAGATGGTTAAAGAACTGGACGTTCTCTCTTTGTCTTCTCAATTCTGTAGAGGCACCCTCTCCTCGAGAAGGTAGTGAGTATAACTTCCCTGACAGTGGTTATATACTCGTGACGATGTGAGAGGATTTAGAGAAGAACTGATTCTCCTCAACTTCGGCTATACCAGAACTTAAACAGATCCAAACCTAGTGACTAAGTGACGTCCATTTATATCGGGATCAACCCACGGGTGATATAGACGGTGCGAAATGATAATGACACACCTCATTTTCTCTTCGTTATCTCTGCCTACGCTCCCATTGGTTGCAGCTCGGATGAGGTTGAAGATGAATTTTACAGGAAGTTCTAGAGTAAAATTTGCCATTTTTAAAGAACAGGAATAAACTCTACTGCGTTTTGCCATCATCCTGATCAAATAGCATTATTTCATTTGTGCTTTGCAAGTTGATCATTTATTCTCTAGGTGAGAAGTTAATTCGTGAAAAGTCAGGCATAAAGAAGTCCACTTTTACAATGGTATTTTACCAAACGTAAATCCATTCCTTGAGGACGTACAATACAAATCGAAAAATCTAAGCAAAATAAAAATCTAGTTCTATAAAATACTACATCAATCTCTAGACTGTAATACTGTATTTTACTTAGGTATGAACCGCACAGAATTAATTTTATTATTGCCCCCAAATGCCTTGATACAACCGAGGTTGGGGAGAGTATGCTTTCCCTCTCAAGATGCTCTCACATGAACACGCGTATACAGCCAGGGAAGTCCTGCTTTAGTTTGGGCGCCTGGGCATTATTCCAGCCCTTACACAAATGAATGACGAAGTCTGGTGCATATATTTGGTGCCTTCCTGTACCATTGTTTGTGTTTAAATAAATAAATAATTGTTATTATTTGTCATTCCTATAATACACTTTTTTTATCTTCCATTTTTCAGTTACAAACTGTACAGTGTATAAAAACCATCGAGACACGTGACATATATTCAGGAGTATGGGCAAAGACAAGCGTGTTGTATATTTTTACGATCCAGATTGTGGAAATTTTCATTATGGTTAGTATTTAATGTCAAAAGATTGAATTATTTCATGATGTAAATAGGACCGAATCATCCTATGAAACCACATAGACTTACACTGACTCATACTCTTGTGGTAAACTATAATCTGACAGATCGCATGAAGGTAGGAGAAATTTCTTCGTTGTATTTTTAAATTCTTTGTAATTTTGTTTTCATCACTAAGGTCTACAAACCGTATCATGCCAGTATGAAGGATATGATATCATTTCATTCACAAGAATATATCGAATTCCTGCGTGATGTCACACCATCTAATGTGCATACATTTCCTAAAGAAAAATTATTAACCTATAATATTGGTGAGGATTGGTAGGTTTTTGTTTTATACTGACTTATATTTTAATAATTTCAATCTCATTAATTCTTTTTTCTGCAGCCCAATTTTCGACGGTATATATCGCTTTTCCTCTATTCACACTGGTGCATCACTTCAAGCTGCTAAATACCTAAATAATGGAGTATGCATAAAAATTTATCAAAAAAGTCATCTATTATAATTTATTCAATTTAGGTAACAGATATTGCAATCAATTGGTCTGGGGGACTTCATCACGCTAAGAAATTTGAAGTAATTTCCTGGTAACTTATGTCACTTTTGTCTTTTTAGGCGTCTGGATTTTGTTATGTAAATGATATTGTTATAGCCATATTAGAATTATTGAAATACAATCCACGTGTACTTTATATCGATATTGATGTTCATCATGGTGATGGCGTACAAGAAGCATTTTATCTCACGGATCGTGTAATGACAGTATCGTTTCATCGTTATGGAAACATGTTTTTCCCTGGAACAGGTAGTTCAAGTAGTTTTCTTGTATCCACACTATCATTTATCTAAAATAACAAGGTAATTTCAACATGGAATATACATCATTTCAGATTTAGATGGTGGTTGGAGGTAGTCAACAGAAAACCCTGGACCCGGGTTTCGTGCTACTTGGCACTCGTCAGCAAGGTGTACCTGTAATCTTGAGGGAACTGGTGCTCCCTGGCGGATTTGATCTCGTGTCACCCAGCTTCACAGTCAGAGACGTTTCCACTGAGCTATCCGAGCCGTGACTAACCTCCTGTAGGACTGAGATGTAATCACAATTGATTGATCACTGGGTGGTGATCAATGTCATGCTTGTCTAGTCCTTATTAGTGCAGATCGAATGCTGTTGACTACCTCCAACCACCATCTAAATCTCAATACATAGTGCCCGCAGTGTCGCGTCACCTAGACTGGTGGCCACATTGCAACATGATCGATAGCATTCGATCTGCACTAATAAGGACTAGACAAGCATGACATTGATCACCACCCAGTGATCAATCAATTGTGATACATCATTTCAATTTCTCTAATTACAGTTTTATACAACATTGTTGAACCATTCAACTTTACTAAACTTGCAATTACCCTTTATCCTAATACAACGTATTAAATAGTTTCTGACCAACATTTATCAGTTCATGTTTCGATTCAGTCATCTCTTTAGCTGACCAATCAAATATTTAAGTCTTCGAATAGTTCTTGAATTCATACCAATTACGCATTCTCCCTAATGAATTCATAAGTTATTAAGTATACGATAGCAATAATTTTATTTGTAAGTCGGTTAAAAAATATTTTGGTGATATATCCAACCCTTTGAACGATACTCATAGGAATACATACTTTTTTCTTTCTTATGTTATAATCCAAAAGTGCACTACATGAATGTATTTTCATATATAACTGAGTTAAGAGGAGAACAACTAGAAGTTTTTTAATGTATTAATCAAGTTACATTTGTCCTGTAGGATAAAGCATCATGTTTAGTATAGCCCTTCTGTGTGATTTTATAGACTCCGACGTATACAAATTTATACAGGTTTTAAAGGCAATTAGGTGTACTATAACTTTACAAAATATTCTACAGATCATAAATTGTCATTAATAATCTAAAGTAACTCGTTTTAGAAACAGCCATATATGTCGATATTATCTAACATTCATAAAACTTGAATTTCTTAGTTTAACACTAAAAAAATCAAATAATTTGTCTATCGAATTGTTGCTGTGTAATGATTTTTTGTTGAATGAAAATACATTAATCCTTAAACTTTCTACAAAATTATGTCTATTATTATGTGTAATATCTTTCCTTGTACATGGGGCTAGTAGTAGGGAGTAACAAATAGTTGTGAGAGGAACACTACAAGTAACAGTCTACATTCATAGCTCGTCAATATGAATTTCCCCATTGGTTCATTGAATCCATCGGTGTATTCCTTGAAATATGACAGTACAACTACAGATCACTCTCTTTATTCTGCTGTTTTACTGTAGTCAAGCTTTGATGCAAATTACTTTCACATTCAGATTTTTATTTCTTAAGCCTTATTGTTTATTTGTAACAGCTTGAAATGTTGCAACAAGTTAGTGTTTTATTGAAGTGCCGGTAATTGAAAATTCTGCGTAGATGTAGAATTTATTGTAATATTGGAGATGAATAATCGTTTAGTTTGTTTTTTACACTGAATATTTCGAGCATATAGGTGTTAATTGATTAACAATGTTTGAATGAAGATGTCGGGGATTTTTCTATGAATAACTGAATGTTTTGTCAGTTTGGTCGACTAGTGAAGTAATTCAGTCCTACTTATGCTTGTTTCCACTTATTTACGTCCCGACCTGGACATTTTGGTAATCCATTGCTACTAAACACAAAATTTCGTTAAGCTGAATCTACTTCTGTCCATAAGCATTTGGAACCAATGATTCGACACAAAAGTGCATTAATCTTTAATGAACTACCACATATCGCTGTAACAAACGGTTTGATCGATCTTATTCAGTTTCGTTAACGATCTAAAGGTGTTCAATTACACCAGAACATTAGTATAAAAATACCGTTGAAAGGCGGCTCAGTGATCTATAGGTTGAACGTTCTCTCGAGACCGATAGTCCTGAGTTGGATCCTCGCGTGGAGGTTTGTGGATGCACACTGTTAAGGGATCCCATTGTAGGGACTGGTACTATATTAAACTGACATATGTTATTCTGGCTTCTAGACAGACCAATCTATTCATTCTCCTCAAGCCACATTTTTACCCTGTCACTTATTTACTTATTAACCTTGACTATTTTTCATATGGTCGTGTGTATTAATTAATTACCCTATTCATTACGTGTCTGTAACTTATTTTCGTTTGACTATAAATATCAAGTCACGCTTGATTAAATCTAATTGACTCACTTGCCTTCTCTACTGCGCGTCATTTCTTTTCGCTTTCTTCGTTTCGTTTTTCTGATCGTCTATCCGGATCAACGATTTTATGAAATATACTTATTTGAAATCAATTCTCGTATTTGACTTATTTAATTCCGTTATTCACTAATGCGATTTAAGTCAGTGAAAATATAAAACGGTTGGTGACATGTATATTTCGATAACAATCGATCATAAGATGGAACTGGAGTCAGATAATGGGCCATAAAAGTAGTGAGTCCATCGATAACACCGTCGTCCTATCTAAGTGGAGTCAGATACAGGACCATATCTAAGCCATACTAAGACAAAATGGCCGTCCAGTACTTCCAAGTTTTCAGTGGTGATCTAACATTGGTCAGTTCATGATTTAAATGAAACTCCACAATCTCCATAACCCCTATGTTAACAAGAGGATTAATTTATAGATAGGGTTGTATATAAAGATCCCCCTGGTGAGACAATCCTTAATTTTATTATTTTAAAATTTTTATGATTAACATTTCCAAATGTTTAATAACTAATAGAAAAGCTTTTATTTCAGTAAAATGTATGTATGTTTATTTATTATAGAGATAAAGTGTTTAATAACAAAATTCAGATAATGAACATTTAAGTAATCGATAACTAGAAGAATTCTTTTTATCTAACTGCTGTTCATTTTTGTGAGAGATATGAATATCAGTTTATTCATATACATAATACATCAGTATTGATGTTTACTAGACAACTACAAAAGTTAATACTGAAAGAAAGAATAAGTGAATCTGTTTCAAAATTTTGGACAATCATCTAGATATAAATTTATATAAGTGTAATTGTTCAGCATGAACAATTAAATTAGTTGTGATTTATCAAATAGCTTTCAGGACCGATACATGTATGTGCACCTGGTCCTAAGTTGTAACTGACTGACTTCAGGAATTAATAATCACTGATTTAAATTAATTTTCAGTTTTTCCAATTTAAATATATAAAAAAGAAATTATTTTTCTTTTCCAATCACTACTCAGAAACTAAGTGAACATTTATTAGTGTTTATTCTAGGACACTACATTCAAACAGGTGATCAGAACATGTTCTAAACTCAGACAATAAATATATTGATCAAGTTATTACATTCTTGTTACATTTGATTTATATCTGCTGTTTCATTGATTAGTCTATGAACAAAAAAAGTCATTTAATAAAAATTTAATTTATAAAAGGATCCTCAATGCAACCAACCATAATAGATAATACCTATAATGATTATTTGCTGTTATCTTTCAGTTATCATTCAGTTCAAAATGATCCACTAGTTCTGTACACAAAATAGAAAACCAAATGTTTATTGTTGTCTTCTGTATGGAGTGCAAATGAACCTCTCTTTGTTCTACTGAAATATACACAACGAACAAGAATTAGAAATGCAATAAAAATGAACAATTAAGGGGTGACGATCGTATTTCAAAAAATTATAACTTTCAACGCTTAGCAATATTAAGTGAATGTACAAAGACCACTAATGTTGAACTGACTTAAAGGGATAAATGCTAGAGGACAATGTTACTAGTCATTTTTTCTTGTTAGACCCATAACTAACAACCTTTGTAGCTCACTTCACATATTTGCTAGACAGGTCATGTATTTGATCATGAGTTTCAACACTCTTCAGATAAGTTTCATGTTAAAACAGGTGATTCATCCTGTATCAAGCTTAAACCAAGTTACAAATCTATGATCTTGAAATTCTAAAATGCGTTTCACGTCAATTGTTGGTGTTATCACCATACTTTGGCAGCAAAAAAGAACGTCCAATGCTCTTTAACCATATAAAAACAATTCAATTTACTTGCTTTCTGTACTTTTTTTGATAGGTGATATGTACGAAATTGGAGCCAAAGCTGGGAAATACTACGCAGTGAATGTTCCTTTAAAAGAAGGCATTGATGATGACAGTAGGTGCAATTATTTTTTTCTCTTTGTATATGTATGTTGGCTGTCTCCCTCGTTATAAAATTCTGGATTAGTGATTTTGTATGATTTCCTAACTTGTTAGTAAGATGTTTGTTTGCTCACGCTCAGTGAACACTAATTTAAACATGTATTTGTAAAATTTTCCTTTAAGCTAATGTATCCTTGGGATTTTCCGTAGTGAATGAGTATAAGTTTAGTTAACTAGAAATATAGTAATATGGGAAACGTAATCTTCATCAGTAAATAACTAAGTAGTTATGCACACTTTTTATAGCGGTGACAATCGATTTTCTATGAAACATTTAGTATTAAAATGAATGTAGTTTTTAATATAATTTATTTATATGACATAATTTTGCCGAGTCTGTATCTTCGTTAATTGTAAGAAGCGAGGGCCTTGTGATTAAAACACTCGGGTTTCAACCGGTTAGCTCTTAGGTTCGAACTTTCTATTACTAAATTCGGTTAGTGATAGAAAGGTAATATCACCATCAACCCTTGAACAAAACAGCAAATGAATTGCCATGTTTAAACAATCGCTTCGATCAGGGGATACAATTCATTAGCTAAAGCAAGTATTATAACATCGTGTTAACTGGAAATGACTAACAGAAAATGGTTTATTTCTGTTTGTTTATGTTAAGTTGACTACTGTTATTAGTACTTGTGTAAAGATGTTGAAAATATTGTTACTTGTCGAAAATTACTCCGGTTTATTCAAAACGATTTATTTTTAAGATCATGAACCGATCAATATCAGACCACCATTAAAAACCTGGAAGCACTGGATGACCGTATCGTCCTAGTAGGAGACTCCTGTTGAGATACTCCCTGTGTCCCAAAACCGAAGCAGGTGGTTTTCTTAAGAGGCCACACCCCAAGCCTTTGACCTAGAAGTCTAATCCACGAGACAGTGGAGCAACGTTAAAAGATACAGTGCCATGGTAGCTAGTGACAGACAATAGGTTCATACGCTATTTGTTCCCCCGGGATCCAGGGTCCCATGTGTACCATTGGTTTGGAATCAGGGTTTTTCAACTTCCTAGGTGGGTCTTCCATATCCAGCAAGATGGTTAAAGAACTGGACGTTCTCTCTTTGTCTTCTCAATTCTGTAGAGGCACCCTCTCCTCGAGAAGGTAGTGAGTATAACTCCCCTGACAGTGGTTATATACTCGTGACGATGTGAGAGGATTTATAGAAGAAAAACTGAGTCTCCTCAACCTCGGCGATGCCGGGGAATTTGATGGTGTACCATCAATCAGTTGACGATTTCACTAACAACTCAGCAATCTCCTCAACACTATACCGGTGATTTATTTTTTGTCAAATTTCAGTGTATTTCAGTGTTTTCCGAGCTGTTATAAATGACGTAGTTGCATTTTATCGACCAACAACTATTGTACTTCAATGTGGCGCTGATTCGTTAGGCTGTGATCGGTTAGGTGTATTCAATCTGTCTATTAGAGGTCACGGGTAAGTTTTGATTTTTTCCGATTCGGTTTGGATAAACTAGTCATTTTGATGTTTATAATACCATTTTTGTTTATTGGCTTTAGTGGCCGTGATTTCCGAAGAATTTGTGTTTCATCCCTCAGCCAACCGTGTATGCGATTAGATGAAAACATGGTATCAATGGAGAGATTATTTGATAAGTTTTGTTTTTAGCTATGCTGAGTGGTTTGTGACGTGAAAACCGAACGTAGCCAAAAAATCGATATCATTGGTGCAGTATTCAATAATTCTTGTACATAATATCTCTCCATCGTTTTTTTTTAGATTCAACGTATAATGATAAAAAAAGCAATCTTTTCTTTGAAGCTAATGTTGGTTCTACTCATACGTTCTGTCCCAATATTATGTATGAAACACATTAGCTGAGAATGTGCTTGGATCCACGGAGTATTGGTGTTCTCTGTTAGTTATGAAACCAACTTAAGCTCATGAACAGACTTTGTTCATTTCAATTTCATTAAATAATAAGTCAGCAACAATGAAGTAACCGACAAAACTATTCTCAATCGGATCATTAAAACTATTAAATATGATTTTACTCAAGTAGTTTGTCCTTAATCGAATAGATCACACATTTTGGATTTCACTACTAGATGTTACTAAATATAACCAGTGTGCATATGGGCGATATCGAGACATACGTAAGTAGAGTCCGTCATAATCACGGTAGTGATCGAAGACGAATGTATGAAGCGTTTATGTTGTCACACATATCAGGATAACTGCAGAGAATTCCATTGGTTATTATCTGCCTGCCAGACATAGGAACTCTGACCGATGTACATATGTGGTATGTTGCTTATGAATGCTTGACCACTAGTAACTTTTTCCAACTGACCACTAAGATGGAGTTCAGCCAACGAATCCAGACAGTTCAATGGAGTCTTAACGTAATAAACATTGGGGTTTTGGAAATATAGCTTCAAGTATATCATGTATTTGCTGTTAAGTGAACGAATTCCACCTAATCTACTTATTATATGCTGCGATATTTTCCGAAATGAAACAATAATAATAAGCTAGTTATATTGCTCGAATAGTTCAATGTTACTATACATTGATCCAGTGGAAAATTTGTTAGGTGAATTTGTGAGCGTTAATCCGTTATTCGAAGATCAGTTACTTGAACTATAGAGCTGTACTTTCACAGTATTAAAGAAAATAATTAACCTACACGGCGTTATTATTCGATTACGTTCTGTATGATCATTCCGAATGTGCCTGCTTCTCACCTTTGTTCCTCAGGAGATGTGTTCGAATGGTTAAAGAACTTGGTCTGCCATTATTGGTTGTTGGCGGTGGTGGTTATACTGTGCGGAATGTAGCACGCTGTTGGGCATATGAAACAGCCGTCCTACTCGATCAAGAGAAAGAAATTTCCAATGAATTACCTTATTCCCCGTACATTGAATTCTTTTATCCTGATTATACATTACATCCAGACTTGACAACTAAGTTGGATAATGCGAACACACGGCAAGTAAGCTAATTCTGATTTGTAATTGATATCATGGGCTGACTCTAAAATAATACCTCTTAAATTAAAGAAGCATTAGAAAACCATTAAAACCCCAAAAAGTACTGTAAAGTCATTTTGTACTAGCTCGGGACTCCTCAGAACTACACACTTACAGTCTCGAGAGGGATCAGACCAAGAACCTTTAGGTTCAAATCAGAGCTGGGATCCAGTGATTTACATATTTAACTTTAGTCTATCCAAAGTATTACAGGACCATGCACAGACACCAGCAATGTCCGTTTCATGTCTGATATGAAGGTTAGACGCTTGCTGCAAGGCCCAAAGGTTATGAGTACGATTCCTGTTGGGGTCATAAATATGCACTACTTAAGAGTCCCACACTAGGACGGGGAAGTCCTCCAGTACTTTCTGGTTTCCAATGACCGTCAGTCCGTGATTCCGACTACAAATTAAACAATTCCTACCAACACCGTTGAACAATTTTGTTCTAGCCACATCATTTTGGGTCTAACAGTTTCTTTCGTATCACATATATTACATCTGGTCGTTGAACACTTATGATCCTAACCCCTGGCATTGCTTCTAGGCTCTCGAAACTCCCACAAAACCTGAAACACGAGGAGATCAAGAGGTAAAAGTACAACCGAAGGGTTGTTTTAGGTCTATAAACGAAAATCTCACAAAATGGTAGTGGTTTGTGTGTCGGTTCAACCAAACTAAGAAGACACTTTTAATATATCTTGGCTTTAGTAGCGTTTTAAGGCGTAATCTTGGCACAACTTAACATTAAGCTACTGACAGGTGGTAGATCAGCTGGAAAAAATCAAGGAGATAACAAGTACCCTACTCTTAATTAGAATGTGATCAATTCGCAATGGATCAACGTCAGTTAGAATATTATCGAGAACCGGAAAACACTGATTCGTCCAAAATTGATACACTCACAGTTAGACTTAGAAGTTTTTGGATCGAATCGTGGGGCGGGATGGTAGGAGGACAACACTGTTATGATGTCTCACACTAAGATGAAACAGTTGTCCAATAAGTTATCCTTAGTTCTTAATGATGTCGTAACTGATGTTAATCTGTAATAAATACCAGTTACAAATCAAACTAATCAGACCGACCTCGTAGCAATTGTTATACATTCTGAAGTAATTAAGATCTATCCCTATAAATGAGGTTCAATTTACGGATACATATTACATTAATTTTGATAGAATATATTCTACATACTAAAGTGAAATCAATCAACTAATGTTTTCGTCAGGATAACTTTTCTTAAGACTCCAATATATAGTGGACAAATATCCCTATTAGCTTTCCGTGGATCCTCTTTATAATACACATATTTACTAGTCAGCAACTTCAATATATTAACAAAATTTACTTCCATAAAGTCATATTATGAGTATTTCAAATCGATTTTAACATAGTGTTAGACATGACTCATCATCATTGTTTTAGTCTTAAGTTTTATAAAGTTTACATCAAATTATTATTAATGAATTCCTTCGTTGTAGTATATTGAAGCGCTACGAATGACAGTTCATGATAATTTAAAACAACTTGTACATGCTCCAAGTGTTCAATTTACTGATGTACCGAATGATTATCTAGCGAACTTTTGTAATGATTCGAATGATGAACGGTAAGAATTTACATCCATATCTATTTACAAATATGTATAGCTTGTCCAATAAATGTGCGAACTGGACTACTTAGGTAGTAAGCACAATAATTATAGGTCCCTAAGTCAGAATTCAACGGTGCATGTTTCCAACTCCATTCAAAATCTTAAATGTTAAAAAAATTCAATTCTCTATTTTTTTCACTTGTAAGTAAACTGATGATACGTAATAAAACGCTCAATAATTATTTTGGTGTATAAATAAATGACAAGTGATAAATTCCATACAAATATTGAATGAATTTCGTTGAAACGCGGTTTATTAAGCGAGCTTATCAACTCTACTAAGTGATAGAATATCGCCTGAATATATAAGTTGAATTGACCCTAAACAACATACAAGACCTGGCATGAATATGCCCATGTATCACCAACCCACGTTACCACATCTCATCAGTATGACAAGGGGAAAGAAAAAAAAAAGATGGCAACACGGAGAAGTTGGTAAATAATCTTCAACGGGTAGCTAAGTTTGTGGTAATATAGTTCAAAAGAAATGAAGATTAGTAAATGAAAAGCATAGTGATATTTGATCAGGTAGTCGAGTTTAAGCATATCACGTATCTATGCTTACATGCCACCTCAAGGTTAAGTAGTAGGTGGGAAATTATGGGCGAGATACGCTATCGGAGTAAACTGATTACGCTCCTAGTCAAGACCTCACCCCACATATTTTTCTTCAGTTCAGAAGGATAGATGTATGTATACTAATTATTAGTATATGTATTCATTCAATTTTGCCAAATTTTACTCATTGGTCATTTCTCTCATTCACGTAGCCGGCTTGAGCAAGCGTGTCGGAGGCTTGCCTGAACTGAACGTCGTGGATTGTAAAAATTTAAACTCAAGGTATAGCGAAAGCTAAAAAATTAGCAGCCGCACGTGACTGAGTAATGAACATTCTATATACAGCAATGTTATTTCAGTGTTCCATACCAGAGTTGATGAGCAAAAGTATAAAACATTCTTGAGAAATAGTTGCATAACTATGCGATCTATGAATCGTTTATCATCTCAAATTCGATGTTTTTTATTTATTTTACAGGGAAAAACCAAACGAACTGTTTGTTGAAGAGGAGCAAGACTCAACAGCTGCTTGATAACAATTGATTTTTCTCGTCAACAAATTTTATTTTCATTTTAATCTTCGTTATTCCTCTCTCTTTCATATATATGCAATTTCGTACTACAAGCACACCGTTCTCAAACAACGTCCCACCCCAAAAATATTAACAACAGTAGGAAAGATCACTTTTCTGAAGATTTCAGTTCAATAAAAAAAATATTATTGTCTCAAGTGTGAAATATTATTGTTATGATTACCATTATTATACGTCATGGAGAAAACATCATCTCTCCGAAATACAAATTGCAAAATGAAAAAAAAGAGAGAAATTGTGAAATCTACCAAAAAATCATGTATAAAATTTATTCTTTGTATCTTCCTAAAAATATATGTATGAAATGATGTTAATGGCAAATGTTGTATGTATGTATAATATTAATTATTGTTGTTCCAGCTTTTCTTTTTATTGTCTTTACTTCTATGTGTATTTACATCGAGATGTGTTAGAGAGGGAAGGAAACCATTAGATAATTGTGCTTCCTATAATTAGTTATTTAGTATGTAATGGTAGCTATCTTCAATGTCATTATGGTCGATATAGTGGGTACCGGTCATGAATTAGTATGATGATAGTAATAATGAAACAGTGAACAGAATCTCGTTAAATTTAATTACATTTTTGATTCAGAATCGACCGGGAATTAAGAAAACACAACGAATAATTTTTTTTCATAGAAAAAAAATACAGAAGTGATAGTAACTAAGTAATATTTAAAGCTGATTTTTCCGAAGTTAGCATTTGTCCGACAGATCGTGCACGTGTATGCTGATTTAGATGAAGTTCACATTGTAGTCGGCTTACTTTTGTAGTAATTGGTTTCAGTCTTGGCGGTGGTCGTACATGAAATGCATAAATTGAAGAGGATGATCCGGTGATGTTTGGATGATTCTTATTGCCTGTTAAATTGCTCAATTCTGATTTTCGTCTTAACAGGATAAGTTTGTTAGCGTCTACTTTAAACCAGCGATCATCATCATTATCACCATTGTTCTCTAATGGCACACCCATAATCCATACAGGGCGTTCAGCATTCCATAACGCTGGTGGAATAGCGGGCAATGAAAAAATTGATGCATTTGTAATGATTGTTTGTCTACGATGTCTTTTTCCATTATTATCAACTTCCAGCCTAATATCACTGATGTTATTTATATCTTGTGTTAAAGAGAACTCAGAAAATTCACGAACAGCTTCTTTGCTGAAACTTTTTAGTTTAGTTTTTTTCTGTGTTTTTGTCTAGAAAAACGAATTTAAACAAGATATAAAAATCAATGAAATTATTATCTTCCAAAAAAGATACATGGTGATAGGAAATATAGTGTATAATTATAGTAACTATGGATTGTGGTATTAATGAGTGCAATAAAATGTTGATAAAACTATAAACCACTATTGAATAATGTTAATAAAGCGTATGTTGCACACGCTTATTTGCTGGCTTTTTATAGGATAAGGCTAAGCAAGATCTAGTGATTGTCAAAACAAAATAGCATCAAACCATTAGATTATCGACCGTGTGCTATGTTGGCAGGTGCGGAGTTATTTATTCAAACACTATTAGACAGTCGTATTTAAGTAATGTGCTTTTAATAATTTTGGTCACCATGGCACAGGTATGTACATTCTTTATCATCCTTCAAAATCTCAAACATAATGTTTCCCAGTTTGTTCTTTGATTCTATTCAATTTTTAATGCTTAATTTTATTCTATTACTGGGAGTATGATTCCAAAAATTCTGGTTTTTATGTTGCTTTTTCTGCCAACCCAATAGTTCTAATAGTCGAGCGTTTGCCATGAGACTGAATTCTTAGGTTTGACCTCTGGCAGTCTTACGAGTTTGGATTTCTGAGGACGTTTCATACTAAGATCAGAGCACTTGTCTGTTGCTCTATGATTTTGTGGAGTGGTTAAGAAGTTTAACGTTCAGTTACTAGACCGCATTTTTGCGCTCAACCCCACCTTAGATTTGAACAACCAGGTAATATTGATAACCCTTGCATTTGGAGTGTGGCTCGAAGCCAAGTACATGAATTCGTATATCGTAAATGAGTTTCAAAAGAATTGCTTTCTTTCTCTATGATAATGTAAATTGACATTTCTTTTTGCCAGACTCTACGTTGTCAAGTAATTCAGTTGAAGGAAATATTAAAACATCACAATAACGATGACTTCATACTATAATATATCAGTCAGATTGTATTATGGTAGAAAAGTTAGTGAATATTTTATGCTCTATAGATTGTGTATTAAAGCTAATAATTCTCAAACATACTTACACAATTGATAAATGAATATTTCAAAATAGAGAATACAATAACATTTTGATCGGAACAATGCCAATTTGAATGTTATCGTCGTTATTAATAAATGAGTTTTTCCCTTACAAATTGGTTGATAAAATAAGTAAATATTTGTAAGATGTTTATATTCTATTTAACAAAGCTGGATTTAAACTCGAATCAGTGAATGTCACTATTTACAGGACATATTTTCAAAAAATTTACAAGATCAACCCTGTAGGATACTTTCAAACAAATATCATCAATCGAACAGGATGATAGTTGTGCATTTATTGCGAATGATTAGAAGTGAATATGTAAAACGACTCAGTAGTCTAGGGGTCAGGCGTTCGCTAAGAGATCAAAGGTCTTTGGCTTAATCTTCGGTGAAGTCATGGAAGGGCAATGTTGGAAAGTCCCATGTTGAAAAGAAACGGCTGCCCAGTGCTTCCTGCTTTTCAGTGGTGGTTTAGCTAAGAGCAACTTGTGATCTAGACTGAAAATAAATTTATGGGAAGTGAAGACAAATCTGCAATGTACATAATTCCACTTTTACCTTCATTTGTTGATGATGATTTTTCTTATTTCTAACACTTGATTTTCTATGTATGCGATAAATAGTCCAACGATTTCTCATTCTGTTAACCAGCGATTGTACCGGATTAATTATCGAATGTAAAGGTCCTTTAGTGTGATGATGAGATCTTGTAGAAATCGAAAGTTTTCTTGGTAAAGATTCTTCGTCATTCTCATCACAATTTTTATCATCATACAGTGTATCACATTTATCAATACTTCCATTATTGTGTTTAACACTACTTTTCTCATTTTCAATGTAAACAGGAAATACACTCCATTTGGAATAGATTCTCTGTAAATATTTCAATCCATTAACTTCAGTATTGGTACTATTAACCGCCACATCTCCATTAATGGAATTATTATTCAGAGTTTCTTCATCATTAGCAGTGAATAGTGTTGCACATGATAGAACATGATTTTGAGATTGTGTATTACTCATATTGATATTATTTTGTCGTTCAGAAATAACGGTAGTCTTATTATTTAATTCATACGGTGATGAACTACTGACCATCAATGCTTGATTTTCTAATGATATGATTGATGGCTCGGTGTGAATAATATCAGCGGCTTCACCATTTATGCTCCCAATATTATTATTGTTTATATTAGGAATATTGGTTGTAGGGATAGTGTTAGTATTCAAGTTAAATAGACTAGCTTGACCATTAAATGGTGTTACGTTAGTCATATAAGAGGTACAATTATTGTCGAATGTTGACATTTCAGAGTATGTGCTGAGCTTATGGCAACTTGTTATTGTCTTGTTTGTAATAAGGTGATATTTTTCGTTATTGTTAATACTCTGTAAACCAGAGATTTTATTACTTTGGTTAGTATTTTCTAATTTTGAAAATGCTGGACCATCCAACGAGTAACCGGCAGGTGTTACAATTGATCGATTTATTTTTGCATGTTTAATTCTATCTGACCTTTTTCGAAATGAACAAGAAACCATAGTGTAGAAGGTGAATACATGATACATAATTTAATAATATAGTATTAAAATAAGGAAAAATGTACTGAACAAGTTGTAAAGCAGTCTATGACCATTATACAGGAATAAATGGTGCGATATTTTCATTTCTTAATATGAAACTACAACGGGTTAGTAGATGAATAGTTATGCATAGAAAATACTCATATAAGATATATTTGGAGAAATCATCTTCATCCTAACAGTTTTTGGTAAATTCCCTTCTACAATTTTAATGAGTAAATTTAACTTTGGGACTTCGACGACTGATGGAATCTAATCACATTAAACGGTCAGATTGGTTTTCCTACATCGACGTATTCAAAATCGGTCAACGTCACGTCAGTTTAAACTCTTAGGTTACCCAATAGGCTGTAGATTTCAGCATCGCTGTCTACTTCGGTTCAGACAGCAGAGCAGTCCTAACAAGAAAATATTGTAATTTAGAGTACATGAACCTGAAATGAGTGTTATGGAGTTATAATAGCTGAATGCTGAATACAACCTAGAAGTTACGGAAGCAATTCCAACTAGTAGTTGTAGTTATTTATGTAATTACACGATTGTTTGATTTGAGTTGCTACAAGATCTTAGTAAAATAACAATGCGTAGTAAGTCGGTTTATAAGAATAAATAAGAGCGAATACCATCAAGATGACAAAGCTAGGCATCGATCAGTCATAAGTAGAACCTGCAACACATGTATATCGACTCAAGTTGTCACACCATATCAGCATGAGATGAAATTACGAAGTTGAAACTTAAGAAAGTAGTAGTAGTATAAGATGTAGTAAGAAAGATTACGCATAGAGTATGATTGGAGAGGAAAAAGTAAAGTTGCGGAATAAAATATAAAAAATAATTCTAGGTCATAGGATATAAGGGAAGACAAGGAATGAGTGGATTTACATCTTCAACCAGCGATCGTGCGAACTCCAATCGGATAGTTTGCACTTACCACCAACAATCAATAGCTTTATGGACTGATGCCCTTGTTGTTATTTGGTTTCCCCTAGCTTTAATCTTACCTATTCCTACACCAGGCACTATTGAACACCGATGTGTAATATAACGTCAACTGGAACTGTGAGTTTATGGGTGATGTTAATAATAAGACTTCACAAATTCAAATTGTTTGCCAAAATGTTCTTCAAATAAAAATAAGATACATTCGCGCTTTCGCAATGATCTACATACGCTGATGTTATGCGAATATTTACACGTATAATAAGCGAAGTGATGTCCTACTTATATCTTTCGTACGATCAAGTTGTTCGAGCTTCTTTATAAGACCGAGCGTAATTCACTAATTTTCACTGATGCAAACAAAAGCTCGATTTGTATGGATCAAGTTAGTTACGACATAAGTTATAAACCCGTACGTGAACGAATGAAAATCCTATCTCGTGTTATTAATATTGGTAACAGCAACTATTTAAACTGGTTTTGAATTTTAACCATGTATTGTGACTTGTTTTCCATTTTGTAATCTAAGTATTTATTAAGTAAACGGAGTACCAATAACAACTTCACGTTTTCATTCAGTTCAAACTT